TACTCAGCAATCTGTCGCTGAGATTTTTCCAGCCCCGCTCCTTCTATTGATATAGAGGACTCCGGTTGCCGATTCGTGACCCCGCTTCTGAAACCCTTTGCTCACTTAGGGAATTGGTGAATAGAACTCCGGTTGTAGGCCAATTTGCGACCCCGCACCTGATACCCTCTCCTCACTTAGGGAATCGGTGAATAGGACTACGGTTCCCGGTCGACTTTCGCTGTTGATACAGTCTTCCCTCTTGTCTCCGCCGCAGGAAGTATTTGCTCGATGTCTAAATCGAGGCTTCCCGCGCAACACTTTGCTGTTTGTTCAACACAGANCTTTGCTCACTTAGGGAATTGGTGAATAGAACTCCGGTTGTAGGCCAATTTGCGACCCCGCACCTGATACCCTCTCCTCACTTAGGGAATCGGTGAATAGGACTACGGTTCCCGGTCGACTTTCGCTGTTGATACAGTCTTCCCTCTTGTCTCCGCGACAGGAAGTATTTGCTCGATGTCTAAATCGAGGCTTCCCGCGCAACACTTTGCTGTTTGTTCACCACAGAGGTACCCACTACTGCTGTTGCAGCAGTGACAACGTGTGTGTATAATGGACTCTCAGCCCCTTGGTGAAGATGACCAAGTAGTGCGCTCACTTTCGTTTCCGCTGACCGTTGATGGTCTCCCAAATCTCCGAATCCAGATTTCCGCTCGAAGTCCACAGACGGATGTTGTTGTCCACAGCAGTAGGATGTCTTGACCTCCGTCGTGAGTTCCGCAGCTCCTAGTGTTCGCATAAAGCGAGGCTCATAACCTCACAGAATATGGCGTCCTGCAGCAGCGGAGGTGGCGGTGCTGCTGTAGCTCGTAGACTTTGTAGTCTACCACAGAGGTTACACTGCTGTCGCCGCTTTATCACAGAGGTTGGTCTACACTGCTGTGAGATCGGTAGGCCCGAGCGAGCTTTGGAAAGAGAAATGTAGAGATATGTTCTTATCAACTGACTCCCTGGTTAGGCTTTGATGAGTGCTAGATGAGAGTGAGCACAAGGGGCGAAGGCGCGCTTGTATCTCATCTCAACAACAAAACAAAACAAAAAACAAGCAGCAAAAACACAGCAGGTTCCGAGGGTCTCCGGGGTAATGGCCCGAGTACCGGAATTTCGGGGTTCGGAACAATAAAACAACTACAGTCTCGCCTGCAAAGTTATCTCCGCTACAACTCTGTGCTCATGTTCTCTGCTGAGTACCATCTCTTCTTTCTGTATTATTTTTACGGAAGGCTAGTTGCCGCAGTCGCACCTATGGTAAACTGTGCCTGACTACGTTGTAACAGTTTTCCTCGACATCCCCTTGCGTGTGAGATGTATCGTTGTTGACTCGATTCATTCCTGGTTATTGCTGCGGATGGTCACTTTCAGTGACATCCTGAGAAAAGTATGTCAATTTTCACATCAGCGGCAACACGTGCAAACCGTAGTTTTGCCATTCTGAGACTTGTAGCCATCAGGGCCACGGCACATAGAAATGCATACAGATGTGCAATCACTACTTTTCTGTTCCGTTAGTCTTGGCGACCGCTACGCTTCCATCCCCTCTCGCCTTTCGCAACCGTCTTCACGTCTTCCTCTGGGTCTCCATCCTCCGTCCCTTCTCACCCCCCTTCAACGGTCGTCTCTCTTGTTCTTCCTACACTTGACCTGACCTCCTCCCAAACCCTCACCGCCATCCGCCTCGATGTGGCCTTCCGCCCCATTGGGGGGTAGGGGGGCAATTGCTACCCTAGTTCACTTTGTTTGTGACTCTCTCGAGGAGAATATTGTACAACAGTACCACCCAATTGTCGATGGGCCCAGGCACGCAGTAGTGCAGGCCATCGTTTGCCGAGGGGTGGGAGTCTGCGCGCAGTATTGTCGGCGAGTAGGCATCCAGCAGTGTCCAGCTGCCATGCGCAGCCACGAAAGCTTCCTCCAGGAGCTATGGTTTCAATGTAAGAACGGTACACCCAAGAGCGGGCGCACACGCAAACAGTTAGAGCACCAGCTACAGTGTGAAGTATTGATGAGTTGCCATGCATGGTGTTTGCCCCCTCGAGATACTGATTGAATGTTAAAAACAACATATTCGCCTGATTGAGAGCGTAGCATCTGATTGAGAGCGAGATTGCGCGATACGCTGTAGCCGGACTACCACTGAGAGGTGGAGCTTGCTGTGTAGCTTGAATTGAAGGGCTAGCCCGTAGCTTCAAGCCGCTACCCTGGTCATCCTGTGGGAGTCTCTCGTTGTGGAGCTACAGCGGGGAGCAGAAGCTACAGCAGAGCCCACCGCCCGACGCGATACCGCCCTGAAACAGTTTGAGCAGAAATAGCCAATCTGGGCAAATCTAGCAACTTGTCTAGCTCCTCGCTGCAGCATCCGATGACGATGACACGCATATGCTCGCGAAGCTGCTGATGAGACCTTCAATTTGCACCGCTTCTTGGAATAGCCCGTCCCCTACTTGCCAAGAAATGGCAAGAGGCGTCTGGACCCGAAATTTCAATTTTTTTGGCTCTCGCTCTCAATCAGATACTTCGCTCTCAATCAGGCGAATATGTTGTTTAAAGCGTCTTGCTACAAAATCATCTAACCCGACTATAACATGCTGCTGCCGTGTGCTCCGTTGATATGATAATGATTTAAAGAGAGAGGTGAACACGACTCTATCTCAGCCAACATTTGCCGCGGTTCCTTGTGCTCCCTCCCGTAACAACCAAAAATCAACTTTAGCAGACGGCGCTGAGGCCTCTCCCCAACCCTTGCTGATGTTCACACACGGATACGACGTCATAAAGAACACATAACGAGAGCCTTACCTTGTTTTTATCGCCAAATGTGCTCCAGAGGTACCCCGGCCGTCCTTTCTCGACGAGGTCGAGGGCCGTGTCTACATCAACAGGTCCACTGAACATCCTGCCACGGAACGAAGCACGCAAATAAATAAAAACGTTGAATGTTCAACCGTTTCTGGCACGTACGGGCTCACCTCCTATTTCTTCTTGACAGCAGAGCAGAGCGGGGTAGGGGTGTAGATACGAGATGGTGGGGGTAGGAACGATGTACGGCGACGAACAGGCTAACGTGGATGTTAACCTTGGTTGCCGGAAGGAATCGGGCTCGGAAGACTGCTTGCGTTGTTACTTGGATCGGAGAGGCGTGAAGCAGTAGAAATATACGACTTAGTCTATGCACACGATGTCGTCGGCTGTGAACACTAGCGGAGAGCTACAGGGGATGATGGTCTATTACAAGGAACGCCAAGGGCGCGGAGGGGCAGTGTCATAGCACGCTTCTGGAGTGGGTTTTCAGTCGGACATTCGAGGACGAATGACGGCCCGTACTTACATCTGTATCAAATATGGCACGTATTCACATCGGTATGTATTATGTGTGTCAGCCACAATGACCCTCCGCCGTTCAGGTGCTCACCCACATAAATGATCACCGCGCGATGCACAGATCGACGCTCGATGTGGGACGAAGTATAGTATTAATAGACACAAACGACTGCGCAGACAACTCGTTCAGGCCACCTGTCCCGTCAGACCTCGAAAACGTAATGTTGGCGACAAAGGTTCGCGTGCCTTAAGGCCATCACGCGTACTTTTCTTCGGCCGTCTCCCACCTTTCGTAGCTTTCGCCGTGACCCGGGACGGTGTTCCTGACCACCAAGATGGCGTTATCCCCGTGTAACCGCCTCATCGACGAGGTCAGAATCTCGCTAGCGTTCTTCATCATCGACCCGTACGCCTCCAACCCCCCCGATCGACGGTGTGCCCCGGCGTTCACGACGAGAGTGTCGAACTGGATCAAGGTAGCGTCATCTGCGATGAACATGAGAGCAGGTTGACATTGCATCGTTGCTGCACTGTAAGATCGAAATGCAGAACTGGCTTAGGGCAGATATCATCTGTAAGGGCAAATACGTTCAACGCCACTATTATTTTGTTCCGCACTGTCTCGACGATAAGCGTCCCAGCAGCAGCAGCAGCAGCAGCAGCAGCAGCAGCAGCAGCGGTTGTGTGCTGTGGGCCGCGATAGCTTCGAGTGCGGGTGCAAGTTGTTGAGTGCGTCGGAACGAAGAAGCAAAGAAAGATGTTTGATTACTGACTGACGCCCGGGTTAGGTTTCGATGGTGCTTAAGTGGGGTGAGCACAAGGGGCGAGAGCGCGCTTGTGTCTCATCTCAAAACAACAAAATCACACAAACCGTCAAAGCAGGGTTCTCCCGAGATCTACTCGCTGAACTGGTCTCTCGGGGTCTATCCGGAAGAACCCAAACGTTTCACCTCAAATATTCCGACTGTCTCTCTGACTATTCAGAGTCTCCCTGCTCGACTTCTACACACATGCTTCTACCACTGCTGTGTATCTAGGACAAGCGTCCTCAACTCTTAACTCTTTACCTATCATCCCTAGGGTACACGTATACAACACACAAAAAAGTGCATTCGCACAACATACACATCACACAGACAGAGACGTCTTGTTGTGGTGCTGCAATCGACTACAGAGGGAAATGCGTGACTCGTTATGCTGCTGGTAGTACGCAGGTATCAAGCAATGATGCATATCCCCGACACACACATTGGTGTGATCGCATTTCGCTCGAAACGTACCGCACCTGACGCAAAGAGCAATGTACTAGGAAAATGGAGGTCTCTGCTCTCGACATCAGCAGACCGGATTGATTAGTAGCTGATTATCGGTTGAGGCTAGAACGCTGTCAACGGCAGATAAGAGGACTGGAACGGAACTTTTGTTTCAGCCGGCTCTGCAGATCGACAATCATATGAACCTCGTTGCAAACCAAGATGACTCGCGTTCATTCGGTGAAGGTTCTCGATTTGGCCAGTGATGGATAGACTAACCCTCCGAAAATTGATGATGCCACACCGGCGCGCGACCCTCTTACATCGGAATCCCCTCTTATACCGGAATAGGAGGGTACTTAACTCCCGTTTCGACCCTCATCATATACCGGAACCCTCCTCATAAGAAAACCATTTCCATCTTTATCGAAGCCATGCCTGCAAAGACCACGCAGCGCGACGCGCTGAGGTCGGGGTCCTCGCAATGAACCGTGTCGAAGCCGTCCGTTCGCGTGTCGAGGTAGTCGTTGCGATACCATGACAGGGTCAACGCTCCGTCGCAGGCTGAATAAGTTTTCCCGGTCATCGGCACGTACTCCACACGCGTCGCACGCAAGATAACCGCCAGAGTATCGATCATTTCGCCCGTTAGGCTGTCTCCTTGTGGGGGGGGAGGGAAGAGACAGCAGGTGTTGATGTTTGTGGATTCCATCGAGAAAGCAAGGGAGTGGGTTCGTGGATTCATTGACCATCCTGTCAGATGTTGTGGTGTTGTTGCACGTGGAACAAGGCAGTGCCAAAAATCCATAGCCTTCGGGAAAAGAGGAAAAAGGGTTTTCTCCGAGCACCAGTGTCAGAAGGTCACAGTTCCCGCCTTCCGTGCTCGTCTGGACCCCCTCCCACCCTCCGCCCAGGCGCGGACGCACCCCCAACTTTCCGCAATCTCCGCCACTACTCTATTCTGAGCGGGCAAAGATACAGCTGTCGCGTGCTACTTGCGGGGTTCTTGCGTCCTACGGCCAAGCCATCTTTCTTCGGGCGCCGAACCACGCGGCCTTCACCTACAAAGAGCAAGCCCTTCCTCCCCTCCATGACGCCGCAAAAACTGATTTGGTCGACCTCCTCCAGTCGGCACGCCGAAGGCTCCCATTTCCAGTACGGCATGGGGGGAGCGTGTCCTTGCCCCTGGTGCTCCTCTGACCATCTTTCGCCACAGCTATCACGGCGCGCGTAGTTTCAACACAGTGCACAAAAAAACGGAGTTTGCGTCGTATGACAGGGCTCATGACTGCGGCAACGCACAATCTAGACGGACGAGCAGGCAACGGAGAGTAACAATAAAAGCATTTGTTTCTGGCCGTTCCAGGCTTCTTGATCAAAACCGATAGTTTCGAACCATTCGAGCCATCGTTATTCTCATCGACAGAAATACATGCTGCTCGAGATCAGCACGCCTGCGGCGGGTTGCAGCTACATCGTCTAACAGGAACAAAAATTATCTATGAAGGCTACGAAAAGGACACCATCGGTGACGGCTTCCATCCGTTGCACCTATCAGCGGGTAAACAACAAGCAGCTCGTCGGCCATCACCCACGAAATCTCCAATGAAAGCGTGAATTCCACTCCTATGTACCTTCCCTCTAATGTATTTATTTTCCATGGGCCAGTGAAGTTGCCCGTATTAGCCGGCGACTCTTCTACGCCCCCTTCGCACTTCTTCCATCTCCCTTGGGAAGGATCCGCGACCATGCTCGAGTAGCATGTCGGCAAGCGGGGATCGGCTTCGACTTCCATGCCATCGAGAAAGAGCATTCGGCCTCTTTCCTCCCCATCGATAACAAGCAGTGGTTGACCCATTCCATCCCCTGTGCCCCCCCGGACGAACAACAGGAGGCGTGGTTTTCGTTTTCAATGTCAAACGGGTTGGGATTAAGCGCGGTTTCGCGGCTGCTGCTCAACGAGTATTTTTGTCTTCATTATGGAAATGTTCAGTTGTCCTATCGTTCAAGACAATGTTCAGTAGCTGCGTATGGATCGTAGTCGGCGAAATATATGTCGCTTGAAATGTTACGTATGCGTATGAGGAGTAATTACTACTGCGTTCTGTGATTGACCCCACTTTTGACTGTCGCTCTGTGATACGAGGGTCGGCCTGGATACCCCCCGCTACTCTCCCCATCGATTGAATACTGTCGCCATCCTACCTGGACTACTGTCCTGTGGTTTTGTGCACCCATCTGCGCATCTCTGTGAATCGGGCATTCGCCATGCTCGGTAATGCCCGCAGCGTGTAGGAGCAAACATGTAGCCTGTAAGCCCACGCTACCTACGAATCCTTTTCTGCCCCTAGACCCTCTGAATTCAACGATAATGTCTAGACTATACCTAATATTCAACGATCATGTTGCGGTGCACAGCAAAGTGGCTCCTATTTGTTTTTCGGCATGGGCGTTTCAACTTTTTGATTTTATTATTGTTGCCCCCCTCACGGAAAGAGTATAAGGGGCATGAACCAAGAGTCTCGCGACACACGGCGCGCCGTGTCGGGAGCTGCTGGCGTTGGAAAGTCGCAAAAAATCAGGGATTTGGTTTTCCCGAAGGTTCCGAACGGTTCTGTTTTTCTTTTTTGGTTCTCGTCGCGCCACGACGTCATGACGTGACGACCAGCCAGCAGCTGGCACCAGAGCGAGCCCCCCCTCATGCCACACTGTCACAGCCACCTCGCCTACAATCCTCAGCAGTGTCTTATCTCCAACAAGTCTTCCGTTCTGGAGAACTCCCTGGTCGGCAAGGAGGGTCGTTAATACCATGCGGACGCCTCTGCCTCCCCTCGCGGAGGCGCGCACAGGCATCACCGCAGCAGCATGTATGATACAAGGTTCAACAACCACCGTTGTCGGCAAGCTGGCTGTCATCGATTGCGTAGACGACATGTGCAAGACTGGCAAGCTGCTCAAGAAGCAGGGGAATCCGGGAAACAAGTGGTACGAGTGCAAACTACCTACCCTACCTACCCGGTTGCATTGCCACAGCCGGTCTCCTGTACACGTCGGCCAGGACAGGACAAAGGGCTGTGCCTGTCCCGCTTTCAGCCCGTCTACGAAATATGGTCCGGTCGAGCAGTGCGTACAGGAAGACACGAACCGTGGGTGTGGCTTATCCTGTAGCAAGTGTGTTTCACTGGCATGTTGCGGCTTATCGTTGCGGAACACGTCGACAACAGCTATGTACTTTTGTTCTTTTTTATCTCATGGCAACAACTAGCAAGTCGAGTGTGTTGAGTTTGCACGCATGGTAGAAACCTGCGTGGCCTTCACTAACACGATTTATGTGTTGACACCCATAACTGGTCTGCGTTTGCGTCTCTATTATCTTATTAATGTCTACTGCAACACTACAACCGTGCGCTGTCCTACAACACCTACTGCAACGACTGTGTGAGTTTTTCTTTCTAGGGCAATGGAAGCCCCCCCCGTCCACTGGGGGGCGGGGGGGGGGGGGGG